CCAACTCATGGTTTTTCTTAAACAGCCTGACCACTGCCTCCCCGGCCTCACACCTGCAGGGTACCCCCTGCCCGGGCATGGCTGGGCTCCTGAAGGCGGCAGGCAGGCCACCCCTCTCCCAGGGCTGCCCTTTCTTGCATCCTACAGCTTCTGTAGTTCATGCTGTGTTTTTCTGGTTATTTGAAGAGTGGTCCCTCTCCTCGGGGAGCTCACATAAGACAGACACGTAGGAAATAGAGAAAGAGTGACTTTGGAACCAGAGGGCCCTGGGGAGGAGCACGAAGGACTGCGGGCTGCAGAGGGCATCCAGAGTCTGGAGGCTGCCACGGCTGCCCAGAGGAAAGCATCGAGGGTCTGCATGCTTTTCTGGGCCCGTCCTGGTGGCGATGTGGCTGCTAAGACCAGGAGCTCCTGAATAGGAGCAAGGAGCTCCCAGGAAAGACGCCATCTAAAGTTTGGGAAGGGCCTCTGGTTCTGGCTGAGGGGACAGGTTCTGAGAGTGTCCACTCTGCGACATGAAGACCAGCCATGGGGACCCGGAGGACCAGGCCTTTCCCCAAAGCACCCTTGCTCCTGGTTGAAAGGGGCTCACAGGTGCTGCCCAGAATGGTACCCCTCCTTCCAGCCTCCCCTCCAACACCTGGGACTGCCCTGCAGCCAGTCTTAGAAGCCTAGGAGGGGAGCAAGCAGGCCCTCCAGCCCTGGAGACAGGGACCCCCTCACGGGAGGACAAGAGCCAGTAGGTCACTGCAGATGGGCTCCCGGCATCCTCCAGGGGAGGGAGGGAGCCAGGCCCCATGCATGGTGACAGCCTTGTAGCTGGTGAACATTCCAGTGATGTGGGTACAAGGATAAGGAGGAGAGCAGGGCACTTTCTGGGTCCCCTCTCCTCATCCGGAATGAAGATTCATCATAGGGACGTACTGCTGGGCCAGCAGGGAGGGCAGATCCAGGGCCCAAAGCTCCCCTGCCTCTAGCCCGGCATGGAGGCCACTCAGGCCAGGGTCTGCTCAGGGTTCCCAGTGGCCGCGGGCGGAAGGTGCAGGGTAAAGAACACTGTCCTCACCCCCAAACCAGGTGCACCTGCCTGGTCCTGGTGGGCCCCCAGCCTCTACCAACCATGGCCCAAAGGCCTGGGACTGGTGAGGATCCCCAGTCCCAGCCACCCCATCCCAGTGCGGCTGGCTTAGGAGGAGTGCAGAAGGAGTCCCCAGGCCCTTTCTCCTCCACGGAGCAGAACAGGAAGAAGGTAACTGAATCAGCATTTCTTACCCCTCTGGAACATTCCAACATGGAAAACCCACTGAGCAGCTGGGGAAACAATTTAGGGACTTTAATTAAAGGCCGATGGCTCTCCCACAGAGACTCACCCCCACATGCAGCCGGGAGGACCCACCACATCTGCCCTCAGTGTGTTCTGAGCCCCAGCTGGGCACCTGGCTCTGGGCGTTGGCAGCCAGGCCCCGTTTCCACTGGGAGGGGGATGACCGGAACCAGCCAGTCCACCCTTTCTCCTCACTGTTTCCAGTCTGCCTTCTGGGCACCAAAGCCAGACAAACGAGCAACTCCCACAGCTCTGCTTCCAAGAGGCTTCAGGAAGGGAAAAGTGGGTCATGTCAGCGAGCTCAGGAAACAGACTCCAAGTGTGGGGAGGAAATGAGCCCAGTGTGAGAGCACAGCCACCCCTTTCTGAGGCCGGCTCCCTCTCTGTCTGCACCTTCTGTGGGGAAAGGCATTCCAGGCACAGGGAACAGCATGTGCAAAGGGGACCCGGGCCACGGCAGGTGGAAAGAGCTGACAGGGGCAGAAGCTCAGGGGTGAGAGGAGCGTGCAGGCTGGGGGGCGGGGGCAGGCTTCCAAGGGCCTGCACAGCTGCGGTCAGGCATCTGGTTTTCATTCTGGAGGCAGTGGGGGTGGGGGGAGCAGACTGGAGTGTTTTAAAATAATGGGATCTGGTTTACTCGGAGGACACCCCTCAGGCTGCCGTGCAAGCTAAGAAGCTCATTGCAGAAGAACAGAAGCGGTGTCCTAAAGCCATCCAGGCATGAGCTGGTGGACGTCTGGACAAGGGTGTGTCCGGGAAGAAGGAGAAACAGGCATGGACTGGGCTGGGAACTAGGCTCCAGCCTCCCCTCCCGCCCGTGCCGCCCGGGGCAGGGCGCCACATGGTCACTAAGTGAGGCTGCAGCCCCGGGAACGGGCAGGAGCCGCCAAGCCCAGGGTTTGCCACCCAGCAGCGATTCCTTCCTCCTCATCGTTGTTGCAACTTGGGCCAGCCCCCTGGCACCCACATCAGAGGTCGGAGCTGGGGAGGAGGCCACAGGAACATCGTGCCCACATCTGCCCACCACATTTCCAGCAAGGTCTCTTGGGAGCAGCCCCCAGCCCGGCCCCTGGCCTGACCCCAATGGCAGAGCCTAGAGACAGTGCTGGCCCCTCAGGACAGGCCAGACAGGAGTGTCCTCTGGGCCCAGAACCGGCAGGAACAGGGGCAAGACTCCGGGCTGCGGAGCACAGAGGCCCCCATCTCCCTCCCCACGTCCGGTTGCGCCTTCTCTCAGCTGGCCCCAGGTCCGTACCACCCGCGAGGTCATGTGACAAAGATAGTAGCTGCCCTGCCTGATGGGGTCACTGGTTCACAGTCAGCCAGAAAGGGCGCTGCCGCTCCCCTGGAAATCCTCCCTCATTTCGGCTCTGGGGCCGAGGACGCACAGCTGCTGCAAGTAGCCCAGGGTGGAAAGGCCACAGCAGGGCCAAGGATTTGATAGGGACCCAAGGCCTGGGGTGCAGAGGATGCAGCCACGTCCCGGGAGGGCCCAACACAGCCAGGCCAGGCCAGGCTTGGGCCTAAGGGTCCCTGGAGGCCCTTGTCGTGGCAGTCTGTGGACGCCTGGCAGGCAGCATTGTGGTTGGGAGCAGTCATTCTGGAAGGGGCCTCTGCACTCCCAGGGGGAGGAGTAGCTGGGGCCCCGGAGCACGGCCCAGTCGGGCCTAACTCAGGAGCTGAGCACGCAGCTGGGCTGCATCTGCCCCTGCCCATGCCCCAGGGGAGAGAGCCTGTCACACACAGAACTGGGGCATCCAGGGCCCGGGGGAGGGTGTGGGACCCAGAGTGGGCAGTCCTATAGATCGTGCAGGGTCTGAAGGGTGGGCAGTGCCTGGGTGCGTGGTGCCAGACTGTCCCGGCTGCTTGGAGGCTGTTAGAACCACCACCTCCTGCCAATCACACTCACTGTTGGGCAATTTCACCAGATTTCCAGGAGGAAGCATCCAATGGGCATTAAGATGTGGAATTAGCTGGGGTCATGGGTGTAGCCCCAAGAGTTGGATAGATCCAACTTAAATCCTGCCCTAGGCTTCAAGTGGGCCACCTAGGGCCTCCATGTCCTCATCCAGAACATGGGGACAACATAGCTCAGCATCCCAGGGCTGACCACAGAGCCCGAGGGCCACTTCCAGAATCACCATGTTGAAGCTGTGTCACTGGGCAGGCCCTAAACCTCTCTGAGCCTCAGGTGCTCATCTGTCACATGCGGCCAAGCTCACTGCGCATCTCAAGGGTTGTAAAAGGACTGGGTTTGGGACCACTCCTGGCATATGAACAGTGTCCCGTATGGGAGCTGGTGTGATGATCCTTCTCCTGTGCGGTGGCCCCTCCAACCCCCACCTTGCAACCCTCAAGAACACAGACCCAAACTTTATTTCTTAAATATTTTCCTCCACCCATCATCTGTACACGGGCTGTTCTGGCCAGGGGACGGGCACCAACTGAGGTTCCTGAGTGTCCACACGGGCTGGCCTGTCCTGCTCAGTCCCAGCCGAAGTCCTGGCCAGTCATCTGGTAGAACTTGCGGTTGAAGGGCCGGTAGAAGTCCCGCAGCCGTTGGACCACAGCCGCGGGCACCCGGGGGTGGGGTCGGCCCTTGGATTTGCCCAGGCAGCGCGGGTTGCTGCTCCCCTGGGCCTTCTTGAGGCAGGGGAAGCCCTTGGTGGCGTTGAAGTAAAAGTGCTTGTCCGTGACCACCCGTTTGAGGCCCAGGAAGTCCTGCACACGGCCCACCTCTCCAGCCGGGTCGCTGACCAGGCGCTCACCGCTGACGAACAGGAAGCGGGACAAGGGGAAGAAGCGCAGCCAGTTGTCCAGATGCTGGGCGTATAGGCCGATGCGCACGGCGCTCCAGGCTGTGTCCACGGGGCCCAGGCCATGGCGGAAGGCCAGGGCACGGAAGCTGGGCAGGCCCGGGGTCTTGGAGAGAGTCTGGGCGTAGTCGGAGATGGCCCGAGTCACGGGGTTCCGCACCACCACGATCAACTTCGTGTCTGGGGACATGCCGTGGATGCGGCCAGGAGCCTCCCGAGTCACGAAGTAGCTAGGGGTTTTCTCCATGGTGATCTGCCCGTCCAGGGTGCGTGGCATCAGGCTCCTGGGCCACGGGGGTGAGGAGAGGTAGGTGAGAGCGGGTACTGGTCCCCAGGGACCCAGGACTAACCTCGCCTTCCTCCAGGGATGTCCCAAACCTCCAAGGTGGGCAAGCCTTCCCCAGCAAACCCACCCATCCTACATGCTTGGGTGGGCAGCCTGGATATAGGCCGTGAGGACCCCCAGCCCCAGCACAGGCTCCCTGCCCCCCTCCCAGAACTAGACTGTGCCCACACCTGACACTGCTGGGGCTCTGGCCCCAGACCCAGTTCTCCCAAGGCCGGCGGCCTGGACCTCCCCCCACACAGCCCCGCCTGCCTTCCCCGCCCCACAGGCCACTGCCCTGTAAGTACCTCACACCACACTTTCAGTAAGTGGCTGATGGCATCCCCTCATCAGACCATTAATTATTGACAAGTGTCCCCAACAAAGGGCAGCTGCCCCCTCTCCCCCTCCCTCCCCTGCACAGCCTCTCCGGCCTCTGATTATAGCCCTGCTAATTCTCACTGACCTGGACTGGATCAGAATGGATCCACTGCACACTGAAGAACAGTGAGTGCGGTGGCCTCCGGACCCATCCCAAGTCTCCCAGCTGCCTGGGCCTCCCAGACCAGGCTTACACCCCAGAGTGCCAGGCTGCAGCTGCAGCATTTCTGGCCTGGGGAGGGGAGCACCGATCCCATCCCAAGGTTCTGGGGGAGTTGTTCTGGGGGGAGTCTCCCCCCACACAGCCCCACCTGCCTTCCCCGCCCCACAGCCCCCTGACCACCCAAACCTGGGGCAGCCCACCCTGCCGGCCCAGGGGGGCAGGTACCCTGAGCAGTGTCTCGAGGCCACACCTGCCAACCAGGTAGTACAGGGTGAGGCAGGGCAGGGTGTGGCCTGGCCAGCTGAGCAAACAGCCCTGGGGGAGGGCCAGGAACTAGGTCAACATAGGCATAGGCTGTTAGGACCTGTGCTAGGGAGGAGAGGTCTCTGCGGGCTGGCCCCACCTCCTGTCCTCTGAGGGAGCTGCCCCTACCTGGCCCATAGCCCCCAGGACTGGCCCCAGCCAGGGAACTGACCCAAGGGTGGAGTTCAGGTTTCCGTCCAGCCTAGGGGACCCCCAGACGCAAGCCCCTGGGAGGCTGGGCCTGAGTCTCCTCCTTCTGCTCAGACCCCCAACAAAACTCAGGCCAGGTGGACACGCAGATGCACAGACCCACAAGGTGGGGTGCTTAGCTTGGAGGGTGCTAGTGGTAGGACAGGAACATGTACATGTGAGTCCAGGGCATGCCACTGGTTCCCTGACACCGCCCCCCCAGGGGCTCTGGGGGGTCAGGTGGGCTGCACCGTCTGCTAGCTATGGGAGCTTCCCCCCTCCCTCAAAACCAGGCTCCAGGCAGAGCTGGTCTACAGAAGCGATGGGGACAACTCTGCTTCTCCCATCTCATGAATGACTGGGCTGGGATTCCCTCCATGCCGCTCACTGCCGCATTTGATAGGCAGGCACACAGAGGCTCAGGGAGGAAGCAGGAAGGGCAGGGGGGACGTTAGTCCACAACCCTGGGCTGCAGCTGGGGTCAGCTTGGATTCTGCTCCCAAAGCCCCTGCACCCCTCAGCCTGCCTCCTGCCACTGGGAGTACAGTTGGGAATAGTCCCCAGTCCTCTCCCTCCAAAGGGATAAGTTCAAGGAGATCTTGGCTGGTGAAAACACCAAGGGCTGAGACGTAGGGCTCACGAGAGGGAAAGGAGTTCTCCCTGCACTGAGCCTCACTGCTGAGACCCACAAAGACACGGTGTGCCAGGCCAATCAGAAGCCACCGTCCCTGGGGTGCTGGCTGGGGCATTCAGTTCAGTGTCCCACTCTTGGTTTCGGATCAGGTCTTGATCTTGGGATCATGAGATCAAGCCCTGTGTTGGCTCTGTGCTCAGCAGGGAGTCTACTTGGGACTCTCCCTCCCTCTGCCTCTGCCTCTGCCCCTCCCACACCCCAAATAAATAATAAATCTTAAAAAAAAAAAAAAGAAGAAGAAGAAGAAGAAGTCACTGTCCCTCCCTTCATCACCTTCCTCAGGGAAGACAACAGCCCGGATTGCTCAGGGGATGCCCCCCCCATCTTCCACACACTCTTTCCATCCCTTCTATCCCCCAGGCACCCAGTGACCCCAGAGATGCACCATCTTTCCCTTAGCAGACTCTGCACTTCGGCTTCTGAATATCCTGCTCCCCTTGGCTCCTTCCTGGTGGGGAGGGGGGCTACAAGGAAGAGGTAAGGGGACATCAGCACCTACTGCTGCTGTCTCTCCAAGGAAGTCAGAGGAGCAGCCGAAAGAGGTGCCTCAGGACCTACCATGGAGAGGAGTGGGGATGGGCAGGGGCTGCAGACTTTCCTGGCCCACTCCTGCCATACACCAGCTTGAGCTCTGAGATCCTTGGATCAATGACTCTCCCCAGGCCTGGCCCAGGGAGTGGAGTAGGGTGGGGATGGGGACTTTTGGGGGGTGGGAGAGACTGGGGAGGAGAAGAGGAGCAAGGCTCTGACCCCCACACAGCAAACATCTGACAAGCTGTTCTATGGACCCACCCCCCCCCACCACCAAGTTCATCTGGTCTGCATTTCCTTGCGGCTTCAATCCAGCCCTGGGCGACTCTCCCTCATCCTCAGCCCCGCTCACTTGGTCCCACACCTCTCCTGGGCCCCATCCAGCCAGGCCTGGGACCCAGCAGAAACCAGTCCTGGCTTCTGTGTGGAACCCTGCAGTGCTGGGGGGAGTGGGGGCCTTGAGTGCCCAGTCACATGAGCCTCTCTCCAAGTGAGCAGGGGGAGATAAATCCCACAGAAGCCGGGATCCCTCCCCCCACATACTTAGACCCCAAATTCACTGCTCCTGCATTCGCTGCTTGGGCTGCCAGAGCCAGGGGGGTTCCCCCACCTGCATCCTTCCCCATCTCCTTTCACTTTTCCAAAATGCTATGATCAAAGTAGAGCCCCCACCTGCCCCTCCTCCCTCCTGAACTGAGACTTTGGGGTGTTTGTGCGACCCTCGCACCTGACAAGCAGAAGGTATTCAGTGAGTGAGTGAATAAAGTAAAAATGCTGAGTTTGGGGGCACTTGAGGGTCACAGTCCCCAAGACAGAGGACCTTCAAGAGCCTGTGAGATGAACTTCCTGGAGCCCAGGAAGAGGCAACAACTTTGAGCAGCCCATGGGAAGGACCGAAGCCACTGCCTGAAATGAGATTGGTCACAGCCCTGTGGGTAAGGAGGGGGAGGGTCCCAAAAATTCAACTGGGGGCGCTAGCCACTCCTCCTCTACTCACTGCCCCAACCCCCTCCCCAGAACAGGGCTCTGCACTCACTGGAGGCCCAACCCAGGGTCCTGAGAGCAGACAACACTGCCAGACCATGCCCAGGGGCGGGGCAACTTCTTTGCTTTAGGGGAAACTGAGGCAGGGATGGGCATTTTCAGAGGCTCACTGAACACTCACAGCTGGTGGAAAGGACAGACAGGCCCAGAGGCACAGGGCAGCTGTGAGCACAGCAAGCCCACCTCCACACTTGTCAGTACACGGCCACAGTCCCTTTGGGGGCACCTGGACGCACGCACCCCAGAAGCTCAGCCAGCCTGGCTCCTGCTGGCTCTGCACTGGCCGGCGAAGGGTCGGTGCTAGCCAGCTCTGAGAGACAGCTCTGGATTAATGGAGGCCACTGGGACCTGACCCTCTGCACCCTCTGCCTCCACCCCTCCCCCCAGGGGAGGGGGCTCTAAAAATGAGAAAGGAGAAAGTCTCTTCTCTACCAGAGTTAGACATGCTCCTGAATCTCCCCGGTCCCACCTCAGGCACTCCAGGATCCCAAGAACACCTCCCCAGAGCTGAAAATCAGGCCCAGCTGCCTCTGAGGTGCCTCACCCTCCCTGGCACTGGAGCATGCACCCAGGGAGGGGCTAGACAGGGCCTGTGGACCCCAGGCTCTTTGAGAACCGTGGGGGACTAGCACTGCTACAGACCCTCATTAGCCCAGCTCAGCGCCTCCCCACAGCTCCTTGGTCAAAGCTCTGAAGTGCGCCATAGGTAACAGTGTGTCCTCCACCCCCCGCCCCTCCTCCTCTTCTTCATCTCCCTCTGCAGAGCAGTGAGGGATTAGGGATGCTTTTGGAAGCTGCAGCACTGTCGGAGTGGGGTAGCTGTCTCTCCCTGAGCATCGAGGATGCTGGGACTCAGCCAGTTGGGTCCAAGGATGGACTTGCTTCCCCATCACCACCCGACTTCCCTAGGGCCCCCAACAGCAGCAACCCTTCAGAGCTCAGGACCCAGCATCCCCATTCTCACTGGGGCCCCTCCAAACCCATGAGTGGTTTTAATGCAAAAGGCAAAGATAATAAATAGGAGTGGGCGGGGTTCGGCTGGGTGTGGGGTGGGTTGGGGGGGAGAGGAATCTGGGAAGAGGAAACTGGTGCACCCGGGAGTCAAGAGTCTGGGTCCTGCCACCCTGCACTCCCCATTAGTTCCCCAGGTGACCTTGGGCTGGGTCCTTTCTGCCCAGTACTTGGGGATGAGGTGAGAGCTACAGGGAGTGGGGTGACTCACTCTCCATCTGGAAGCCCTCATTTCCCCGCAGGAAGGGACAGGGCACCATGGCAGGCTTTTGCACAGTTGAAGGAGGCAGAGGGCAGGGCCTCACACTGCTTCAGCCAGGACAGGGTGCTCCCCCACATTCTGCCACGGCACCCCAAGGCCATCCTGTTAGGTGGCAGGGCAGCTACAGAGCCCTTGACATGAGGCTGGGGTCCCAATTCCCACCTCTTCCTCCTTTCTAAATAAAGCCCACACTTTCTCCAGACCCCCAGAACCACGGAGAAGGATTCCTCTTCCCAGGATTGAGGCTCTGGGGAGGAGGCAGACACTTTCTAGGAGGCTGCAGGGAAAATTCTTGAGGTAACTGGCCAGAGGTCAGACACGCTCTCCCAGAGTGATCCAGTGGGGAAGGGTGGATGAGCGTGAAGCGTTTCTAATGCTCCTCAAACCCCACTAGCTTGCAACTACTCATCTGGAATCGAAACTCCTCCTCTCCAGTCTTGCTGAGAACCCTCATTAACCCCGAACCAGGGTTTTCCCTGGACTTTTCAAAGTTTCTGGGAGCCCCCGGCCAGTGACCACTCCTCCTTTCTGTAAAATCCAATGCAGGGGGATCGTGTCCCCGAGGTCAAGCCTCGGCCCCCCACCCAGGCTGGTCTCAGCCCGGATCCCTGGATACCTCACCCCGCCGTGTCTCCAGTGAGACCCCAGGGGCGCACATGCTGTTGTTCGAAGGCACTCGCCAGGGCGCGCACCGAAGCCGACGGGGCGGACAGGCCGGGCGCTCACCGGTACCAGGCGAGGCCGCGCTCGTAGCACCTGTCGAAGAAGTGGGGCTCAGAGCCGATCGCGCGGACGTCGGGGTGCAGCCGCAAGAACTCCAGCAGGGCGCGCGTGCCGCCCTTCTTCACGCCCACGATGAGCGCCTGCGGGAAGCGCCGGCGTCCCGGGCCGCTGGCCACAGGCAGGCCTGGCGCCCCGGGGCTGCCGACCGCGCGGAGCGGCTCAG